AACACATCACACGTAGTGTATTGTAATAAACACAATACGTTATATGTAGTAATAAACACATCACACGTAGTGTATTGTAATAAATACAACACGCTATATGTAGTAATAAACACATCACATGTATTATATTGTAATATATACAATACGTGGTATATTTTGTAATAAAAACAACACATGTAGTATATTGTAATATATACAACACGTGTTATATATTGTAATAAACAATATATAACAGACACTGGATATGTATGTAGTTTCTATCTATTTTTTATTTATTTCAGTTGAATTTAAACCCGACTACTCTACTAATGTAGCTGGCTGGTTAACTCACTAGCAGTTGCTAGTAAAGCACTTTTTAACAACTCCAACTACCACATTATTCCTCTCTCACAAACAAGGTCGGTCCTCGAGTCTTATTGAAGGCTCGTGAGATGACCACTAGTCGGGCGCCAGTTTTCCTGGCAACCTGTTTTTTTTGTTTTTTTCACAGCTCTCGAAACCTCCTACGCGCAAAATAAGTGCTCTACCAACTGACATAAAGGTTCAACCCACACATTAGCAATTTCTAATTAGGCTTAACAACTTGAAGTACAACATGTGAGATTTAAACATTTCTCTGTTCTCTACTTTCTTCTGTGCTCATGGTGATCTAATTAGATATTACCAAACTTTATGTGTGTGTTATTAATCAATTCCAATCATCGTAAACGTCAAGCCAAACAGATACAATAGGGGTCGTGTTAAAATACTGTGCAGTACAATCAGTGCTAGTGAACAGAAGCTGAATCATTCAATTTTATAATATCATCGTTTACATAAGTACAATAATACTAATTACTTTAACCGTGTCTTCTTCTTCTTTTTTATTTTAGCGGTATTATACATTTTGGTTTACATAGAACCAGGCTGTGCTAAAAGAAGAAATCACACGTGGTTTAAACACAGTATTAACTCCAGAAACACTAAATACCTATTAAACTTTTGTATCATTATAGAATACAATGTGCGCGAGAGAGGAACGTGGACGCGTGGTTTCTTCCTGTTTACTTGTAACCTCTTGAACAGAAAAAGCAATAATAACGAAGAAGCCATATATATATATATGGTTGCTATGGTAAAACACGCGCGTTACTTGTATTTCATATTCCAGCAAAACATAATCAGTGTAGTGTAAAAATTCGATGAGAGACGTATAGCCTGTTTGTTTCCTTGTTACACACGAAGCTATCCATGTTGTGCCAACCAATGATATTGAAACCTGATTTTTAACGTTGTAAGCGCGCAGAATTTTCGCTGAGCTATCGGGAGGTAGGGGCACATCAAACTTACCACTCTGTATGGTGAGTTACAGAGATTTTGGTATCACCAAAAAAAAAAAACAAATGTTAAACCTTGGAAATCGAAATACTGACCGATGAGAAGGTAGCAAAATGTAACGTTCTCCAAACGATTCTTGACAGTATATTCAGTTTTTTGTACTAAATTGTTTTATTTAATGAAGTTTAACTAAGCCTTATCTCCGGTATAAAAAAAATATCTGCGTTAAGTTATTTTGTTTGAGGGAATATAAAAATTCAATATGTGTTTGAGAAAATTCACTGATAAGAAAATAAGTTAGTGAAAGAGGTGTCTCCATGTTTCTCCGCCAGGGGGATACGTCTCCCCCGTTGTAATCAATTAACTGTGATCAGGAACTGTGAGGATAGGGCGGGAAACGCTACAAAAGACAGGATATTAATACGTTTATCTTCTGTCTATAAAATATCTACACAGGATATCATACAGAAACAGGAAGAGCTAAAAATGAAATAAATGCTGTTTTGGCACTCGGTCTTATTATGACTTTTATATACTCAAATATACATTATTTTATTAACTGCCCAAATCAAATCTAAAATCATAAAATAGTCAAAGATCTTAATGGTGTATTTAAGTGTTTTACACCCACAAAAAAGAAACCTATCATTCTATAGGTATTTGAAGAACTTGTAACACTTCGCTACAATTTAATTCCTCGTATTGTTAGCCTACATTGGGCAGCTGGTACTTGTTGTTAAACGAATGTTTAAACAACCCTATTTAGTCAAATATTTTAGTGTTAACAACACGGGTTAAGTAACAGAGTATAAATAATATTGTACAATTTGATCATATTTCATGTCAGGCAACAATAAAAATCATTATGATGTGAATACGTTTTTTTTTTCAAGATGGCGAAGCATATTTATAATCGCTTAGTTATCGAAAAGAGAATGTAGTGTTTGAACATACAGTAAGCCTAACGTTTATTATGAACATACAGTAAGCCTAACGTTTATTATGAACATACAGTAAGCCTAATACCGTTTTCTTATAGCGCTTATTAAGTAATCGTTTTCACTATTTCCCGCCGTAGTCATTAACAATAGTATACTTTCAACAATATATCGATACAAGTTTGTTTTTTTAGTATCCCCGCGTCTACCCAATGTTGAATTCTGTTACATGTTTCTAGTCTTTTCTTATCTCAATCGTTCTATTCCCCCCCCCCCCACCATAATCAACGTTTGCCCTATTTTCATGTTAATTAAAATTTGCTTAATTCGATTCGTTTTTGGGGTTGAGAATAAAAAAAAAGATTCCTAGTCATAAGTCAAACAAAAAAGTTAGTCTAATTATTAATAAACAAAATTCATAACTACATTCTAATTATAACTAGTTTTCATTCTACGTTTCGGTTGCTAAGCGATTTTCCTGACAAGAACTATTTCTATGTACTTAGCAGCCGGGATTCGATCCCGGGTCTGGGAGTCGAGGGGTTATCAAATAAATACTTGAACGTTGGCCGACTTCTATAGGTGGATATAGAAGGTTTATTTTATCAATGTTTTCCTAGTGAGTGTTGTTCATATCTCATTTGTTTAGTAACACTTCGTTTTGTTGTATGTCGTTCAGTGGTATGGTGGACTATTGAAGATTGGTTGGTGTTACAGTGCTTTGTATTACCGTTGTATTTAGTGTATCTATACATACAGTACTTTGTATTACCGTTGTATTTAGTGTATCTATACATACAGTACTTTGTATTACCGTTGTATTTAGTGTATATATACATACAGTACTTTGTATTATCGTTGTATTTAGTGTATATATACATACAGTACTTTGTATTATCGTTGTATTTAGTGTATATATACATACAGTACTTTGTATTACCGTTGTATTTAGTGTATATAGATATATATATATATACATACAGTACTTTGTAATATCAGTGTATTTAGTGTATATATGTTTAATCTTCCTGAAATTGTGTTACGTCATTGCTGTCGTAATTAATAAATCAAAGACGATTCGCTGGCTGCTCCACAATTAGAACTTTATTCCAAATTTCAGCCATATCATTTTCAGTTCAGGCCCGCTCTCTGCTAATTGCTCTGAAAAGCAGTCCCCCTTTATTTTATATTTGGGTGAACATAGTTCAGTTTCTGGAGGACGGCGAGACAGTTTTTCTGGAGTCATGGTGGTTTTTATTTGTCAAATGTCTTTGATTTAAAAGGTATTCCACATCAACTACACCACTGCCCTCTATAAATCTTCGCTGCCCTTACAGGCTGATTTTCGAAGTCTCTCTGAGTCGGTGAGTAATTCCTACTTTTCTTGTTAATAAAGAGATCTCACATTTGAACAGTGGGTTTTCTTTTTAAAACTGTTCCGTTGTCCGACGTCAATTCTTATAGGAT